TGAGAGTTTTCCCACACTTCGGCTAAGTACATTACCAACAGCCACCGAGGTATTCGCTGCCATCACATGGGAACAGAATGATACAGGGCACGATACTGCATCCCCCCAGCACACACAGGCACTTCCACTGGGGCAGGAATGAAGAATAACTAACTGAATGTGAGATAAATGGCAAATAAACATTGGCTGAGGAATTAGACCCTGTGGCTCTTCACTTGACAGGCAGAGCAAGGTCATCCTAACCTACCCCGCACTCTAAACTGGGCGATCTTTGCATCACTTTCATGATAAAATGTTTCCACTGTCAGTGGGCAATGAGTCAGAATAGGAGAGGGATGCTGTTTACTGAAAAGCTCTTGGAACTAGAGGGAGGAAAAGGGAAATACATAGGAGAGGCTAAGGACGGGTTCCAAAAACAAGATAAGAAAAATAAAACACGGACAAAATGTGAGAGTGAGGATAGAGGTGGAGGCAGAAATACTGAACTGAAGGCAGAGGGGAGACGTGCTAGAAGAACCCAGACAGAAAGCTGAATACAGGGAAGGAATAGCAGAAGGAACAGCAGAATGGTGCGAATGGGAATGAGAGATGAAAAATGGGGAAAAAAGGCAGTGGGTTCCCAAGTTACGCACTACTGACGTGCATGTGCCCTTTTCAAAAGTGAATGCATAGCCAGGATGACCCTAACATCATCAAAACACCAATGACCCTATCAGGACAGCCAGCTTGAGCTGGCAGAGGGCATAAAATAAAGGTGTCCCAAGTTGGGAGAATCACGGCAGTGACTAAAATGACTGGGATCAAAGGGAAGATCCATTGCCCCCCACCAAAATGACATTCCTCCCTCTGCAAGGGGTCAATTTGTGCATTGTAGCTGCTCTGCGCACACTCTTGTCATTTGTAAGAACCCGTAGTACTCTCACTCATGCTTCAAGTATCTGAATGCCTTCTAGTCCTTAGCACACCTTCCTGACATCCCCGTGAGTCAGGAAATAATGTTTATCTCCTCTCTACAGATGGACATTGAAGCACAGGGAGATGAATGATCTGTCCAAGAGTGTACTGGCAGGCTGTGGAAACCCAAAACTTGAACCAAGCTCTCCCAAGTCCCAGAACAGAACTGCAGCTGCTAATGAGAACCAAGAAAATTAAAAAAATGCAGATGAACCATCTCGAAAGTTTTATAAGTGACATTCCTGCTGCAGGCATGAATGGAGGAAGTACAGACTCCAACAGGCAAATTCTTTGCCACCCCATCTCCTGAGTCGCAGAAGTCCTGTTGATCTGGGCTAATAAATTTCCCCAAGCTCTAGACGTTCTCTTGGCCCTCATCCCAAGCTCACATAAGAAGCTATTTCATAGGCAAGGTTCTTATTTACAGTTACTCAACTCCCATAATATTTTATCTGAGGTGGCATTTTTAACACTCCCCTCCCCAATACTGGATGAACTGTCTCTTTCTTTGCTTTATAGGTTTGTAACTAATCTAGTTAAAATCCCATAAATATTGGGATGTTTCTGTGCTCCCCATTCAGACAGGAGGCTGGCTGAGGAAAAAGTCCATTAGCATTAAAATGATGGTGACATCCAGACTGAAGCTGACAATTCATTCATTTTTTAAGTCTACTGTCATCATGCCAGCTGCCCTTCAGGAGGTGACTGTGCATCGACTGTGTAGCCTCCTAAACACGTGATACTTGGGCAAGGGAATCCTGCCATAAAATCCAGAGTCACAAGTCCTTGCCAGGTCACACAGTGGGTTAATGTGCTGGCTTGCTACCCCTGGGAGACCCGAGCTGGAGTCTTTGTTTTACTGCAGACCTGTGTGCCACTAACAGCAAGGGGGAGGCCATAAACGCAGGGGCACGGGGCGCCGGGGAGCAGCGCCGGCGGAGCAGGGTGCCTCAGGCCAGCGCTGCTGCTGCAATCAATGAATCTCAGTTTGGGCCTAAGAAGGCTGGGTTTGCTTGAATCGGTGCTCACAGCTGATGCACAGTAAAGAGGCACGAGCGGGCCGTATTGAAACATGGCCTGTAGTTCAGCTTGCAGAGACAGACTTGCATTATTCTGCCACTTCTGGATGTGCAATGGCCCCTAGTGCTGTTGTGGCAATACCAGCTCTTGGAACAGGAGCCCCCTTCTCTCACCCCCCTCCTTTCGTGCTGCTCCCAGGTGCAGCGGGGTGGCCTATGCACTGTACTGGTCAGAAGAGGAGCTTGCAGACAAGGAAGCTGAAGCATGGGCTCAATGGCAAAGGCAGCCCAGTGCCCCTGTGCTGGAAGGCCCCAGTAAGGAGAGGTGCTGAGCTGCTTTTACCAGGATAGTGCTGTCCTGAGCTGAGCAGGTACTGATCGGATGGCCCCATCCCCTTCTGTCACCAGGATGGCAGGTCACCTGCAGTCAGGTAAAGACATCCTCTGCAGGTGAAGCTGGTGGGAAAGCAAAACAACCTCACCAGGACTCCTAGCTTTATTCACACAAAGAGATGACTATTAAATTTTTTATATATATATATGGCTATATTTAATCATAGGAGTGCTTAGTCAGCCTTAATACAGACTTCTACTTCCTAACTCTACTTTTCTTCAACAGAAAATTTTCCCGTGAAGTTAGTCAGCCCAAGAATTCCTTTTTAAATGTTAATCTTTTTTCTTAAAGAGTTAAAAAGCTGCCAGCTGTTTAATCAGATTATCAAAATAAACTCACTTCTCAGCCAAGGATAACTTCTGAGGAAATCAGAGAGGCAGATGCAGCTACCCATTCTTTGGGAGCTCTCCAACAACTCAAATGTCAGTTGTTTCAGTTAATTACTGAATGCTAATTAATTAAGTCCATTAATTTTGACCAGACAAATCGGCTTTAACATCAGTACAGTTGAGATCAGAAGCCAGTGCTCAGATAAGACCTCAGCCAAGATCAAAGTGGACGTGTGAAAAATCTCCCCAAATGTGGATTTCCCACCGTCCCCCTCAGCATCTCATAGGTGTGGGAGGTGTGTGCATCCTGTCACGAGGGGAGGGCTCTGTGCATTTTGCTTTCTCCACAGCCTCTGGTCCCTCTCACCTCTTAGGAACATGCCTGCTGATAGGTTCTCAGCCACGGTCCTGAGCCCCAGCTCCTAGTCCATGGCAAACCACAGGCACCGCACCCTGGCCTGTGGACCCACTTACCCACACTTCCCCGTGCGCAGGGTTTGCTGCCCCTCTCTGCTCTCTCCCGAACTCTTAATTTCACACCCAACCTTCATCAGCAACAACCTTATTCTCCTGCAAGAACTGCCACCTTGACCGTCCCTTTCACTGGCTGTGTAAGTGAGGAAACACTTCTTACCCCACATCCTCACCAACCACCATCTAGTCCTCTATTTTCAAAACGTGTAAGACCTGAAATGTAGAATTTGGGGTTTTACGCGAGCTAATATTAATAGAAACATTCTCAGGATTTTTTTCCCCCAGTGTAAATGGAACACTTTTATTTTTTTAAGCATGCCCCTGTGGTGCTCGCAGGCCAAACACTGCAGCATTGTACCCGCCTGGGGAGCTTGCTATAAACACATCTGTCTAGCTGCTCTGTCAGGCCCACTGGGCTCTCTATAAACCAGGAAAAGTAAACCTGTACATTAAATATTTACTGTTTTCAGCATGTATAATCTAGAAGTGTTTTTAGCAGCACAAGTAAGGCGCACTTTTAGTCAATGATTTTTATTTTGACATGGCACTGTTAAACACTGTATGGGTACATCCTGAAAAAGCCCACTCCTTGAAACCAGAGCCTCTCTTCTCAAAACCGGTTACAAACATTATCATGTTATTGCACACTGCCCACCTGAAAGACCCATCCTATCTCCCATTTTTCTGCTCTGATCCCCAGTTCTCCTGTTAAGTCTGAAAGTTGAGCTTGTGGGGAGCTTCAGAAACAGACCCCAAGCTAGGCAGCAAGAGAGGAGAGTGACAAATAGGTAGCTGTGTATGAAAGGATACAGACGAGTGCAGAGTTAAAAGAGTAACAACACAAAAGCAAATGTCTCTGAAAGTAGATAGCTGCCAGCCAGCACTAATTTTCTTTTACGATTAACAAAACAGCTAGCTTTTAATGCTTGCTCCATGTGAAAGAGCTCCCGCTTTCATCTCAACACTGACAGCAAGAATCATAATTTCTGTACAACAACAGGAAAAGAGACGTTAATGCAGTCGTAAAAAAGTCTCCGCACCAAAGTAGTCTGCTGATAGCCCCTGCTAACCTTGTGCTTCCTGAGGACATAGTCCCTGGGAAAACAGCGGGCGGGCGGCAGCCTTCCTGCCTGACTCAGGGGTGTCCTTCTGCCGGGGTCTGCGCAAGCCGCCGGGCCAAGCCCACGCGGGGACCCCTTTGCAAAGCAGCTCCCTCCTGGTTGAGTTCAGTCCCCAGCAGAGATAAGGTGAGGAAGAGATTCCATTCACATACGTTTCTTCTTCGCGCCCCTAGAAAAATGCCCCCCAAGCAGCTCCACAGAGCAAGATGCATCTTTCAGATTTGGATGCTAATCAAGTCTAGAGAGGGTTTAGCACTTCTCCCTAATCGCAGGCACGCAACTCTGGGATGGGCAGCAATTTGCACATTCTTGGATCATAACGCTGTCTCCGCAAACATTCTTAAAGCACATACATGATCCGTTGGCTGCCTGCAAGTCCTCCCTATCTGTAACGATGACATCGTGTCTACTTATTTGTCTGTTATTGATTTTTTCACTACACTATCACAGACTAGAAGCAAGGGGCACAAGCCAGAGAACCATGCAAGTAGCTGATCTCCAGCAGCAGAGTAGCCCTAAAGGAGGTCGTGGATGGCTTCTTTGCCTCGGTTAGCTCGTGTATGCCATAAAATAAGCACATACAACAGAAGAACACAGCTAGCTGCTGCTGCAAAGTGCTCATGTAATGTATCGGTAGGCAAAGGGTAGGAGCCCAGATGGAACAGAATGGAAATGAACAGTAACGCAGCAAACACAACTAAGGTCTCACCGTGTTTTAATAGGCTTGTGTACGTAGCAGAGAATGAGTAATGATTCTGGACAAAGCCAACAGGCACCTCAGAGGATTCTGAAATTAATCCTGTGACATTTCCAGCAGCTAGCCTGGAAAGCAAAGTGACAGAATTCACTGTGTAGCAAGAGCACATTCAGCATCCTGCCAGATCAGGCTTCCCCTCCTATTTACATGCAAGAAAAAAACAATATTAATCAATACTATTTTTTAAAAAAAAAGAAAATAGCTACAAAAACGTGTTCTTAAAATCAAAGGCTAGGCAAATCCTTTGAATGTCTGCGTATCAGTGACAAGAAACGGTTCCATCAGGTCATGAGCAGCAGGGAGGGAGGGAAAGCATCAGAAGGAGGGTAGACAGTTCCTGCAGCTCTGACACACACTGGCCTTAAGGAAACACAGCTTATAACAAAACAAAACACCTTTGGGGTAACAAGAGTTTGCTACGTATTTCAAATGTAGAAAAATAAAACAAACAAGCAAACCTGAACATACCAAAGAGAGCATATTCTGGGGTACACGTTCCACACCACAGATAAAAGCAGGAGGCAGTTGTCTCTGAGGTGCAGTTAAGCTGCAGACTGAGGCAGACAGCAGCTGACAACCATTATGGACCACAGCCTGGAAGTCTGCTTTGATCAAGGATTTCTCGGGTGCAACTCAATTGACTGCAATCAGGTTCAGCTACCTCTACCAAGTCCTTGCAATCATGAGCAATTTTCTTTTGAGCTTGCTCATTTTGTCTTAATGGATGTCAGTTTGCATGCATTGCTCCACTGGGAAATCCTGCACTCTGACAACCAAAGTTTAAAGTTAAGAAGTTTCTGCTGAGGTCATCTGGGATGATTATGTCTCTGGGGTGAGATCTCTGTCTGGGACCTTCACTTCAGCTGATGCTGGGAAAGAACTTGTTTATGCTCCTGATGCCTCAGCCTCCTTCATCAAGCTCACGAGACACAGCTGTGAAATTTTTTTTTCTAGAATATATAAAGATTTCAGGCTATATTGTTATTATTTGCAAGCTACATCACTACATTGGTTGAAAACAATAGACATGACTATAAAGAATCCACATGCAGCCGGGTGCTAGATAGGACTTTCTAAATTTTTTTTTTTTTTTTTTTTTGTGGCGTGGATTGCCAAAGCCCCTAATAGTCTTTTCATTGCAAACTTCAGCTATAGGGATGTGATCGATGCAAGCTACATCTTCTGAGTATAGCCTAGTGTTGAAATATACACACGTGAGGGCAGGTGAATAAATATTAAGTAATCCATCTGCCTCACTGAGGAAATGGTAGTGGCTGGTACTAAAATAAAATTAATGATGGTGACAAAGGTATTTTGAGTCTCTGTCTGGGCAGGAGGAACTAAGCAGGATCTGGCTGTAACTGCTTTGCATTTCTGCATCCAGCCTGGGGTAAGAAAACCAAGCAGTACATACTGCTGGTCAGCAGGAACCCACTGATGATCAGCAGGGATGCTTCTTGCCTCTGTTATGCTGCTACCTCCCTTATATCTGTGTAAGGTGTATCTGTGTAGCAATGCAGTTCACACACTGAACCTGCAATGAGCACAACTGAATACTCCATCACATTTTCCTTCTCTGCTTCCCTGCGGGATTAGGAGGCTCACAAGTCCCTCTTCCACTTTCACACAACGGGAACCTCTGCAAGACCTTGACAGCAGCCAGAGGAAAATGCAGTATACCTACAAAGCAAAGTGTCTCTCAGTGCAAAATGCTGCAAAGCAAAACCCCCCTCAAATATTAGAAACCACAGCAAGGCACAGACTATACAACTGACGGGCATAAGCATAACTGAAGGGAAGGCAGTAGGGAAGAGGAAGAAAACAAATAGGAAATTCCATACTCAGAAGAATTCAGCATATACTCTGAGCAAATCAAAGCAAGAAGAAAAATCTGAACCCACTTGAAGTTTAGCTGCTGAAGCCTTCTGGCTACTCAGCCACTCTGCCTGTGCATTGCTATGCTTAATTTGCCCCACTGGATTTGCACCTCCTGTGAGTAACTGAGAGGAGCCATTGACTCCGGGAACACTGATTTAGTGCAGTAGGAACCAGCGGCCTGGCAGGGGCTGCGGGAGAGGCCCAGCCCAAGGTAGGTAAACACTGGAAGAGGGAAGGCCACAGGGAAGAAAGACTGGAACAGGGAAAAGGAGAAGAAAGAGAGACAGGAGAAACAGGCAGCAGAGGATGGGCAGAGGAAAAAGAGAATGAAGAAGAGGAGATTAATCCAGGCCTGGACTCTGGATTTAATTTTTCTCTAGAATCCACGTGGTTGTGAACCTCTGGTGTTCTCTGGTTTGGTGCTGGATACTTACTGTCAGCGGGAGCACCAGCAACCAGAGCAGCCTCCATCCTACACAGCACTTTACGCCGCGCTGCAGTCCCTACGCACGGCCACCAAAAACTGACGCTGGGTGGAAGGAAGACAAACCAGTTATTTTTTCTCGATTTGTTTCTCTGGAAAGTCCTTTCCCCGGAGAGACACAGGCCTGTGAAAACGACAGGATATACTCAGTAAATCGGTAATACCTGCTCCGTAAGCCAACTGTTTCATATTTCTGCTTTGCATTAGCCAAGCTCCCAGCAGACTTTACCTGACAAACAGCAATTGCCTGCGGCACAAAAAGTGAGGAGCCAGTAAAATACACTTCATGACGTGAAGTAGGGAGTATTTCCCAGTTCACTCAGGATGACAAAGGTCTAGAACAGTATGTTACACTGAACAAAATCTAAAAACAGAAGACAATCCAAAGCTTTTCCTGTTTCCTTACATACATCCAGGAGATGTAGGCACAGCCTGGAAGGTAAACGCTGGGTCACGGGTTGTGACAGGGAAATGCGTGCAGGGAAAGCCTAGGAAAGGGTCACAGTCCAACCTGAACTCTGAAGAAACTCGACCCATCTCAGGTGTTGTCAACTACTTGAAATTCAGGACAGGTTTGTTAAAAGGTGCTGCAAAGCTTTTGAAGTGACCTTTTTTTGAGCAAATGTAGGTTCAGTTACAGTTTCCCACCAACGTTGTGTGAATGTGTGGTAAGACACGAAATCAAGTGAGAAAAGGCACTATTCATTGACTTTTCCTGTGGCATTTGCTGAATGTTGTGAAAATCACAGATCAGAGCAAAATGTTTGGTGCGTGTCCTTAAATTAGATATAATTAAATAAACAAATGTTTGCATAAATCCCTGAAAAGCAAAACTGGCCAATTTAACCACGCATTGGTGTGCTAGCTTATTCTGCTTTTTCAAAATTTTTGAAAAGTTTTTGTATTTCTCATTAAGCAAAGTGTGTTGAATCACAAACTTGTTCCTCCTGATCACAATGCTGCTGTGTAAAGACTCGTCCTGGGAAAAAAAGTACCAGTCAACATTCTTCATCTAAAAACCACTTTAAAGTTTTAAAACTCGAGTACCACAGAAAAAAATATGCGTCTATAAAACCGAGGGAAGCCCGGTGTACCGGAGAGCTTGGAGTCTGGAAATGGGACCGAGCCCTGCTCCTCCTCTTCACCAGCTGGGGCTCAGCCAAATCAGTAGGGATGGAAAGTCGTTACTACCATTACTGGCAGCCATCTAAGTTCACCGGTGGTCTCTGTTCAGTTCTTAATGGACACATAAAATACCTCCTGTCATCAGAAATGGCACTAAATGGTATATGTTGGCAGTCTCATGAGATAACTGCATGTAACTAAAGACTGAATTTCCCTTTCAGCTACTGTCCTTTCTGGTCAAATTTTGAGGCATACAAGTGACGAAGAAAACCACTGCCGCCTTCTGAAGGGCAAGTTCTGGGCAAAGAGGGCCCAGAGCTTTCATCCCATCACCTCTCCCAAACCACAAAACCACGTCGACCTAATTTACTTGAACGAAAAGGAAAGCATGGAGAGAATCAATTGGGGGGGCGAAACCCCACAATGGGAACCCTTCATCGGGCCCGGCCTGGGCACGGCCACGGCCACGGGGACATCCCCGCAGGGGCAGGGCCACGGGAGCGGCACCGGTGTCCCCTCCGACGGGGACACCCATCGCACCGCCCCCGCCTCCGTCCCCGGGGACACGCAGCCCCCCCGCGGGGAGAGGCCGCCCCGTCCCGCCCCGCCCCGCCTCGGGTGCCGCTCCCCCCCCCCGGGGGTTTCTGCGGGAGGGTCGGCAAAAACGGGCTGCCCCGCTCCGTCCCCCGGGGCTGGAGCCGCTCGGAGAAAGATGCGCGCTGGAGGAGTTGAAACAAAACGGTGTATGTTTTTGGAATAGCCCGCCGTGAGGCTTCAGGCGGCCGCTGCCGCCCGGCCTGGCCGCAGACAGGGCCCCATTGTGCGCCCCCCGCGCCCCCCGGCGGGGCCCGGCCCCCGCCGCGCTCCTCCGGCCGCAGCCGCGTCCCGGAGCGGCGCTCCCAAGACAACAACGAGCCCCCTTTTCTGCGGCTCCGGCAAGGTCCAACAAGGCTTGCCTTATTATTCCTGCGGGTATCGAAACGGAGACCGCCACGACGCGCGCACACGCGGCCAGGGGTGCGCAGCCACGCGCGGCCGCGGCCCCTGCGCGGAGCGAGCAGCGCCAGGAGCTGCACTTACCCCGAGCCGTCGGCACAGTCCCCGCGGGACGGTCCCCTCCGTGACCCTTGCGGCAGCGGCACCGGGCAGGCGACGGGACGTCTGGGTTCGCTGCTCCGAGCAGCGGGGCTGCTGCTGCTTCCCCTCCCCAAAAGCCCGTCCTTGAGGAGCGGCGCACACAGACACTTACTGTATGGAAATGCTACGCAGACAGGTTAATCACATCCCCCTCCTCCTCGCATCCCCTCCCTCTCCACTGTCTCCCTCGCCCCCTCCCTCCTCCGCTTTCCATGGGCTTTGGAGGGGTTTTTTTTTGCGAAGTTTCGCCTGAGTTTGCTCCTCCACCTTCCACCCTTGAAGGCGACCGAAAAAAAAAAAAAAAAAAAAAAATCCCAACAAAAAAACCAAAACCAACAAACCACCCAAACTTGTGTTAGGAACAATAATCTCATTTGCAAAGAAAAATCCCTGGAATGGGGACTTATTGTAACGCCGCTGGGTAGCAGACTCAACCGCTGGGCTTTTTTCAAGAAGGGAAGCAAACTGCAGTATAACGCCAGTTGGCTCCTCCAGCACAATTCTCCTAAATCATGATAGACAGATTGCGTGAAAAACAGGAATTCCAAAGAATTTCCTGCCCTGGGAACACAAGTTGAGTCTATATTTAACAACATCTGAAACTGTCAAGAATGCTTTGTGGTTGGATAACAGAGCAGAAAAATGTGAAAAATGCAGGCTACTGCTATACCAAATATGGAAATATTGTTACGTCTGGGGTCTAAATCCCCATCTGGAAATACTTAGAGCCATGAAAAGAAAAAAGAGGCCGCAACAGAAGCTTAAACTCTCCTCCCCGACCCCAAATCTTAAACTTCAACAAGGAAATACTATTCGAGGACACCCAATTTGAGCGAGGGACACTAAAACCGGTGATAAACAGGCGCAAAGAGGGCTGCTGCCTGCGGGGCCCGGGCTCTCGCTCCCGCCCCGGGAACCGGGCGCCGGGCTCCGCCGGGCTGCGCGGCCGCCGGCAGCGGCGGTACCGGCAGGGTCGCGGGTCACCGTGCGGCCGGCGCTCCGCGCACGGTCGGCCCCGCGGGGAGGGGGGCCCCGCGCAGCGCCGCCCTCGCCGCCGGCAGCGCGGGGGGACCGGGGCCGGCGCCCACCGGCGCGGCCCCGAACGCGAACATCTCCTTATTCCACCCCCGCCGGTGCGGGGAGAGACGGAGCAGAGGCCGAAGGGGGCAGAGCGGCCGCGGAGCCGGGGCGGGCGGGGGGGGGGGGGGGGGGGGGCGGGGGCACCCCCCGGGGCAGGGCCGCCGCCAGCGCCCGCGCTGCCGGGAGACGGGGCGGGGCGGGGCGGCCGCGCCGCGCGCGCCAGCCGCATTCCTGGGATGCCGCGAGCGCTGGACGCGGCCGCGGCCCGGAACGCGCGACGTCAGCGCCGCGGCGCACGCGGCGGCCCCGCGCCCCATATAAGGCGGTCGCGCCCGCCGCCGCCTCAGACCGCGCCGGCCCCGCTCCCGCCGCTGCAGCCGCCGTCCCCTCGCTCCCGCTCCACCGGCGCTAGACATGGGCTCCGCGGGCACCCGCCCCGCCCTGGCGGCCGCTCTCCTCTGCCTGGCCCGCCTGGTAAGTGCCGCGGCTCTGCTCTGCCCGGCCCGGGGAGGGCAGGGCAGGGATGGAAGGGGGCGGGTGGCTCCGCTCCGCTCCCGGCGCTCACCGGCCTCCGCTCCGCTCCGCAGGCTCTGGGCTCGCCCTGCCCCGCCGTCTGCCAGTGCCCGGCGGCCGTGCCGCAGTGCGCCCCGGGCGTGGGGCTGGTGCCGGACGGCTGCGGCTGCTGCAAGGTCTGCGCCAAGCAGCTGAACGAGGACTGCAGCCGGGCGCAGCCCTGCGACCACACCAAGGGGCTGGAGTGCAACTTCGGCGCCAGCCCCGCCGCGCTGAAGGGCATCTGCAGAGGTAAGCGGCTCGCCGCCCCCCGGAGAAAAACCCGTAGCGCCGAAGTTTAGTAATTTTGAGTCCATGTATGGTTATGCTTTGTTGTTGGTAGCTTGGCAGAAAGGCCCATGACTTCAGCAGTCTGGAATGCGATTCAGTATGTCTGGGCTCCGCTAAACGCACATAAGGAAAAGTGATTCCTGACTAACTTATTGTTCGGGCCCCGCGTCTCCAGGGCATTGTAGGGAGCTCCGCTGTAAATTGAATTTAGCAGACCAGCAAATACCTGGGCTTAAACCAGCGATTCCCGCTGCTGACTTCCCTCCTTTCCCTCTCTGTTGATCTCTGCAGCTCAGTCCGAGGGGAGACCGTGTGAATATAACTCCAAAATCTACCAGAACGGCGAAAGCTTCCAGCCGAACTGTAAACACCAGTGTACGTGCATAGATGGAGCTGTGGGCTGCATCCCGCTCTGCCCGCAGGAGCTCTCCCTTCCTAACCTGGGCTGTCCCAGCCCCAGGCTGGTCAAGGTCCCCGGTCAGTGCTGCGAAGAGTGGGTCTGCGATGAAAGCAAGGATGCGCTGGATGAGCTGGAAGGCTTCTTCAGCAAAGAGTTTGGTCTGGATGATTCCGAGGGCGAACTAACCAGGAACAATGAGCTAATTGCCATTGTGAAAGGAGGCCTGAAAATGCTACCCGGTGAGTACAGGCTAATCTCTGTGACAGTGGCAGTTAAGGGAAGGAGGGGGGAGGATGGCTGTACGAGTCCTTAGTCCCGGGTGGAAAGAAAGAAACCCAGTGAGAGGATACGTTTAAGCTAAGCCCTCCTTTTCTTCTTCCAGTTTTTGGATCCGAGCCACAAAGCCGAGCTTTTGAGAATCCCAAATGCATTGTGCAAACAACCTCCTGGTCCCAGTGCTCAAAGACGTGTGGAACTGGTATCTCCACAAGGGTTACCAACGACAATCCTGACTGCAAGCTCATCAAAGAGACCAGGATATGTGAAGTGAGGCCATGTGGCCAGCCTAGCTATGCCTCCCTAAAGGTAAATACAGACTCCCATCGGTACTCCTTTCCAAACTGCTTCGGGTAGAGGATAAAGGCTGGAGAAGAATCTCCTGCTAATAACATTATCACCTCTCCTTTACAGAAGGGAAAAAAGTGTACCAAGACTAAGAAGTCCCCATCCCCAGTGAAGTTTACTTATGCGGGATGCTCCAGCGTGAAGAAATATCGCCCCAAGTACTGTGGCTCCTGCGTGGATGGCAGGTGCTGTACGCCCCAACAGACCAGGACTGTCAAGATCCGGTTCCGCTGCGACGATGGGGAAACCTTCACCAAGAGCGTCATGATGATCCAGTCCTGCCGATGCAACTACAACTGTCCGCATGCGAATGAAGCTTATCCCTACTACAGATTAGTCAATGACATTCACAAATTTAGGGACTAAGCTGTGTTGGGGGTGGGATGCTAAACAGAATTTTGAAGTAACCAGCCATGGAGAAAGGACCTTTGGAAATGGTGCCTTGTCCATTTGAGGGCAACATTGAGATGTTTCAAGAGTGCACTGTGCAACTGGACACTAATGCAACAGAGATTTAAGCATACTTAAAGCTTCATAGTACTGGAGCAACTTCACTGCTTCTTTTTGGAGCACCTTATCTAATTATATACTGTTTTCTGTTTGTAAGTGATAAGATAAATGTTTCGTTCTGGTTATGAAAACCTTTTCTATCTTGTTCAATTTAACACTATGCTTTTTTTCTTTCCCCTTCCCTCCATCTTCTCCCACCCTTTCCCAACCAAGTTGGAAGTTACATTCCTTCCTGAGGTGGGCACTTGTGGGGTGTTCACAGTGGCAGCTATTATGTACCAACTGTAGTTTAATGGCAAACAGAAATCAGTTGTTTTAAAGCTGAGTATTTTATTTATCAAACTGTAGCTTTTTTTTTTTGAGTGTGTTTTTGTTTTTTTTTTTTTTTTTTTTTTTTTACCCCTTCCAGCCCCTGTAATACTGGAATAAGTTGTAAATGATTTTAATTTTATATTCAGTGAATTAAAAGAATTTATTTATGGAATTAATCATTTAATAAAGAACTATTTACCTAGCTACTCTTAGTAGAGCATTCCGATAGGCACCAGACTTAAATACAGCACATGGAAGAGCGTTCTGTGAAAACTTTGAATTCTGAAAAGCTTAGACACTCTGAAAATTAAAACAAGCTCTACTACAGATGCAGCAATGCACTAGAAAGCTGAGTCTAAGGTGTTGGGTAAATGACGTTTTTGAAGTGGTATATGCAGTGTGCAACCCCACGCTCTAGAAAGTATATACAGGAAAAGCGTCTTGGCATTGAAAGCAAATGTTTGATAGAGAGACTGAAGTGTTAATTAGACTGTCAGATTATTCAAACTGTCCTGGAATTTGCAACATAAGGTACTTCATTAGAATGCAGTGCATGCACAGTGATGTTGACCATGGGGGTGGAAGTGGTCCTTGGGTCTCACATTTTTTGGTGGCTGCTTTTTGCAAATTAATACATTTCTGTGGCAGAAGAATGTTTCCTACAGTCTGCAGGAGGTAGTTTGCTTTCACTAAATTCAAATTAAATGAGCTTGAAGCAATGACTTTTGTTAATCCTAATAACCCAGTGATGAAAAGTAAACATACTGTTAACAAGAGAAGAATGTGAGGAATTTCAAGTACTTCTCCAATAGAGTGAAAGGCAAAGCAGCTACTCTTTTCCTCCCCTCCCCACTTTTAAAATATGTAAGTACACTTTATGCTGTGGGACACAGATGACATTTGGCTAACCAAGGGAGTTGCAAGACAGCTAGCTGGCACGCGGTAAGGATATGACATTTTAAAAAAGATAAACTAGAGTAGGATCTGAGAAAGCATCAGACATCTGTACTGTTCTGGTTAGCATAAGGATGTGCTACAGCTAAGACTGAAAGGAAAGCTGCAACAGGGTTAGGTTTTGGGTTTTTTTTGTGTCTTCCTTGTGACTGGTTAGTTCTCTGGCAAAATATCCTCCTATAATCTTTAGTGAGAAAGCTACTTGTAAAAAGCAGACCGATTTTGAGGTTTTAGAATTGTAATGAGGTGTCATCCAGTGTCATGTAGTTTGATGCAGAAGTGGTTAAGAGTCAACTTTTTATTAGACATAAATATTTCAATAAAATAAATGGCCAAATATCTCAGAAGCTCATCTCTGGCAGCTAATGCTTTGCCTGAGAAGTTACAGCCATCTCTCTTCTGCTCAGTCAAGTTCTCTCCCTGAAGGCATTCAAAACTTGAGCTGTTTTGGAATTCATCACCTGGCCACCAGTCTCAGCTGTACCTAAACTTGTCTGTACAATATTTGTTGACAGTAAAAGTGTAAAACGTAGCGAAGTGCTTCTGTTTGGTTTCTACTACCATCTAGCACTGAACGCTTCACTGCATCAGCCACTTACTGAGAAATCATCAAGTTTACATGTTGGGTTACTGAATGGAGGGAGAAAGAAGTAGCCTGCTTGCAGACACGTAGCAGCTGCATGCGTGTTCCTCGCCATCCCCACTGTCACTTACACTTGCATGACACTCATCTTCAGCATTAGTAACAGTTCCCCAAAAAATTACATCTACATGCAACTACACTACGTTCATAGACTGTATGTCTGTAACATGCACACCATTCACAAACCAAAGTGCCCCTCCTAACTCCTGCCTGAAGTGTGGCTCTACCCAGGCCCTGGATTTTACAACCTGCACTTTGGGCTTTCCATGTTTCATCAAGTAAAGGGGTGGTTCAGTAACCTGCTGCCTCGAAAAATGTACTGGTGGGAGAATAAGGGCTGCAGGAGCAGATCATGCAAACATAAGCATAAAATATGCTAAATTAAATTATTCTGCTATAGAGAGAGGGAATGAACCCCACTAAAATTAACTGCAAGTCTTCCTGAGCTGGGGTCTCATACCAGCTGATCATCATTCATATAGTCCTCTCTTCACTTTCTACACCTCACAATTACATGGCAAATCTACTAAAATCCACAATTCCCAATACTGTAAAAGGAATCAGTGTCATTTTTTTGTGTATCATCTTTGCACCTGCTTTGAAGTCTTTATATCCTCTCTTGTTCCAGCAGAAACCCCCTCTAAATACTAGGCATGAAAATATAAATGATGAAAGCATGGGTTCCTTTTAGTCCAGTCGGCAGGGCTTACAGGTAAGGTTAATGAGCACAACTGTAATTTTATTTCTTGGCCAAAAACTGAAATATTGATATCCTTCTTCAAGACAAATACTAAGAGATGAGGAGTTAGGAACATCATAAGTAATGTACACAACAAGAAGCAGTAAATTTTCAGCACATTTCAATGCCAGGCTATCAAGTAGTTCAAACCCTGAAAATAAAGCTACCCATGCCGCATGGAGCTCCCCTGAGCGGACAGACCCTGGGAGACCCCTGCGCTTCTCTGGGGAGCCCTGGCACCACAGAAGGGCCAGCACCACCGCTGAAGCCTGCGGGCACGGGTTTCCTCTGCTTCAGCCGTCCCACCTCTCCCCTCTCATGTCTGCCCCTGGTCCTTTGGGTGTTTATCTTTAAGCTGCTCTGATTTGCCACGCCAGCCCCCCTGGTGCAAGTGCTGGGGTCACCCGAGGAGGGAGAGGGGTGGCCCGGGGCACTTTGCTGAATCTGGTGCTGCCGCCAAAAGGAGCATTTGTCAAACTACACTTTAGGATGGAAGGAATGTGTAGTCTTGTATTCAACCCACTTATTTACAAGGGTTTGATGGTGGTAACCACTATAATATCAGGGTTACATATACAATCTTCCCTACTTATGAAGGCAACTCAGTGAAGACTAAGTTTCTGCTTCCTTCAGTGCTGCATCACAGGAAACAAAATAAAAGCAGGAGTATGCAGAAAAAACAGACTTCCACGATTACATTAAATCCTCTTTCATGGGATGCTGCTAGCTCACTCTCCTGAATGAGCAGCCGATAGAGGAAAAGCCAACATCTTACTGACAGCGGGGCAGCCAAGATATGAATTAACCCTCGCTGAGCTGAGCCATGAGAAGCTCTACACTCTCTCTATAAGTTACTGCGGAGCTCACAGAAAAGTAATCCCCAGTGGCTGCCTGACCCTCCAGTGGACATCTGGGAATCAGGCCCATCTCCCTGCTACTGGTGGGAAGCCAGTGAGCTGCACAGGCACGGGCAGAGGCACTGTGGATCAGTGGGATTGCTGCAGGAGGATTTTCAGTGCTCACAGCCCGCTGAAGGTGCAGGAATCCCCCACAGATTTTGAGGACTGAAACAAGGAAGTTTGCTCCGGGCAGTTTTTTGGGGTTGGAAGTCAAAGCTATCTACCTGCCCAGCAGCAGTTAAATGTGTCAAACCAGAGGCTTGCTGTGCCAGGTGCTCACCCTTCCGAGCTGATCCTGCAGAAAAGCAGTTTGATGCACGTGTGCATTTTAGTTTACTACTGTTTAATCAGTGGAACTGTTTCCATGCAGTGCCCAGAGTGCTTAGCACACTGCAAGGGAAGGCTGTGTAGTTCTAACAGTTGCTCTGCCTTAAGACTGTTTTTTCGTATCAGTATCTCCCTGTTTTCATCTTCACATTTTTTTTTCACCATGTAACACAGCCACATATAAAATAGCACATAGAAACGTGGGGGTGCCGTGGTGAAAGCAGTAACATACAACTGGTGTCTAGGAAATCTAAATCCTGTAAAAAAAGATCTCAACCAACAAAATGACACAATAAGCATCTGTCTCTATTATCCTGTAAGGACCAAACACCAAGAAACTGAATAGATGGTATCCAGTATGCTATGAATTTTTCCCCCCAGAAAAACTAGAGCTATGACTCCTACGTACACAATTTATATTGGAGAAGATCCTGAAAGATCCCAGGGCACCATTCACATAAGCAACTTCATCTGTCTTGAAGTATAACTGATTATGGGATGGAATGTAGCAACCGTCCAGGAAGAAAAGATTACACAAGATTTTGTAAGGTTTTTGTTTACTAGACAGAAGAAGTTTAAAGGTAAGGTGCATAGATTTGCCCAGATAGGAATCTAGCTAGAACACACGCATTAACAACTTAACCTTGTGATGAATGCAGTTTCAATAAGAATGAAGGGACTCCATTATAAATATCAGTTAAACAGCCAACAATGTAGTCCAGCAATATTTTGAGAACATAGGTTGAACACCAGATCAAAAGAATCCCAGTACATTGTCTGAGTCAAACACGCCAGTTTCTCCGAAGCTACTGATTTCCTTCAGTGTCTCAAACCAACCAGGTTAGATCCTAATTAGTTCATGAATCTGACAAAATCAGACATCAAGATGTCAAGGCTGTAAAACCAGTAAATCTATTAAGGAGAACTTAAAACAGGAAAACATATTTTACTCTACAGAAGGAGATGCTCGTGCTGTAGTGGAACACCCCCTTTAAAACCAATATGGATGCCCGAGCACAGCTGAAAGTAGAGGTTGGGAAAAAAGATCAACAAAGAGATACCACTGAAGGTTTGACTATGAAAGTGATGGGGACTTCTCAGGCAAGCTTTTAACACCACCCACCCTGTCTGCTCTTTTTCCTGAGTATATCTATACCTCATCCACAAACTTCATTTTTGCCCACCTTGGGCGTATCCCTACTCCCTATTGGCACTCTTGTCAAAACGAACAAGTTCTGGGGCTACAATTCAGTAGAAAACCTGGCAGCAAGGAGTGGAAAGGCAATAGCAACTTTCACAGTCACTTCTTCCTTCTTGGGGCAGAACTGGGATGATAGCAAGAAAGTGGCAATATGATTTTAAAACCACTTTTGCTTTCTCCACCAGCTGGAATCATGCAGGAACCATCCAAGCTTCCAGTGTGGTAATTTGTTCTCTAAAACAAGAATACCACTCCCCTCTAATTTCTATCTCTGATGCTTTGGCATATTATTTTTAACCCGTTCTGATTTGTCATGCAACCCTACAAACAGCTGTATTGATGCAAAAAGAAGCCTAGTGCAAAAGAATTAGATAAATATGAGGACTACTGTGCCAGTTAAAAAAAGAAATAAAAATCCACTGTTTCTATCACCAGTAGGAACCAGTAAGTCCACAAAGACTTCCCCTTGCCCCAAAGGTAGGCAAGGCTCTAGTGGCTTTCCCTATTTTATCACTGTTGTTTTTTTTCCTGCCAAAAAGCCTACTACAGTAACATAGCTTAGAAATGCTTTTCAGCAGGAAAAGTTAGTGGTGAAACCTGGCCAAGCCAGCAGAACTTTGCTTCCAAAACAAAAAAATGTTACAATGCACAGAGCCAATGAGGGAAAGAAGCTCTTGCAATAAAAGCATCATTAGAGCTAAGTCCCTGTCCGATGGGTCACCGAGACCCAGCAGAACACAGTGGGAACACACTTCTGTTATCAAGTCACAGACAGACAAGCAGCAAAACAACTGCCCTTGTTTTTTCCTGGTGTTACATGTCATTTTCAATCTCCCTTTCAGTTTCATTTTTTCAAGTTGTTTTTGCTGCCATTTCTTGTTTGTCTTGCATACATGTGACTTCCTTCCATTTCACCACAAATTTCCACCAAATAAAACCATATGCACTGCCATAGCAACATTTTAATACAAACACAGGGTAATCTTTGTTCACTGAAGTACACAGTTCAATTTTTTTTTGTCTTATTAACAGAACCTGCATCTGCATACAGTTTTACTAATGTCATAGCAACAACATAAACACAAATTCAAGATATTTTTTCCTTTGGAGGGAGGAAGAATAAATATTTTCAGGAAAAGAGCGTGGGACTTCAGAAAGCAAAATGAAGTGTTTGTGACCAAATATGGCCTGAAGTTACATCATCACAGCTGTATATTTACTCTTTGAAAGCCTGCTCTTGCAAAGTGTTATACATTCTCAGTTCCTACAGATGTCAATAGAGAACAGCTGTATCTGGCAGGGTAAAGTCTGAATCACAGCTACGCTTATACACAACAGAGGTGGAACTTGCTATCAGCATTATGGGAACTTAGAAATTTATCTACTTAGACTAGAGTGCATGTTCTGCACAGTAAACAGTTTTACTCCTAATGCAAAATAGAACTGCACGGTTTGACTGAAAGAACACAAATTGGTCTGGCATGCCTCTCAGTCCCTGCGCAACCATACATCTTGTGGCATGACCCTCTTTTTCTCTACAGATCAACAATTCCTAATGCAGAGATAAATACAGTAAAATCTAGAATTCAGATGTGTTCATTCCATAGCTTAGTTGTTGCACTGACGGGGTATAACACTGTTTACCCATGACAGCTCAATTACTTATGCCTCATACTTCCACAAAGTATACAAAAAAGGAAAAGAACCAAGTTCTTTCATATGG